CTCAGTATCATCTCGAATGCTTCAGGAGAATGAACAGATTCCAGTTTATGTTCTTGGTTTGGCCAAGAGTCTACTCGTCCAGTAGGATCTGACGTTGCCATTATCTTAGGGATCATCAAAATCTCATTGTCCACAAATTTCTGCACAATCAAGCAGTAAATTATCTCCTCCAATGTTTTTTGTCTCTCCTTCTCTTTGACTTCAGCTATTCTCCTACAACTCAGTGTTCAGTTACATTAGTCATTAACTTTTTGTAACAGCAACCAAAAGATCAGTTAGCAACAATATAAAAAGAAATTTGATCAAACCTCGTATAATCTTTTAAGATATAACTCAACATGTAGCCATGTGAGTTCAACATACATCATTTCTTTCTTTGTTGAACCCTTCCAACATGTCACCATGTCAGTTCAAAACTAAAAAACTTAGGAGGGATTGAGAAAAGTTGAGACGTCATGGCAATTACAATTTCAGCAATGATAATGAAAAAACTAAAATACCATTAATGAATCTTAACATGCAAGGAAGATTCATTAAGGGTACTTGAACAATTTCATAGGAGTCCTGGCATTTTCACTTTTTCTCATTTTGGAACTCAATAATATAAAATGCATTCGGTGACTGTCATTCTCATATCATTCCCATTCCAACAATTTACATATTTCATCTCAGAAGAGGCAAAAAATTCATAAAACTCATCACTCACCTGTAAAGGAGATCTTGAGTTGGAGGGACTTCATCTTTCTGGGCATCTTTATCGCTTTGAAGGTTCTCCAGTTGTTGATCAATGGCGGCGGGGAGTAAATATGGATGAGTTGTCAATATTTGTGCCAGAAGCTGGCCAACTGGAGATTCAAGCTGCAGAGGAGCAATTGGTGACACATTATCAGCTGAATCCCCTGAAGCTTTCACTGCAAAGCATCTTGCTTGGCACCTATGCACTCCACTTCCTAGCTTCGGAATACAAAATGAAGAACATTTCTACAAAACGGAACAAACACCCTGTGAGAACTAACACAGAACACCTGAAAATCTCAGAATCGATCAGGCACAGTGGAGTTATAACCAACAATAACACTCTCAATCACTTCTTGAAAAGAAAAATGGCAGGAATTTTGAAAACTAAATCTTCATCTTTTCATCAAAGAAAGGACTGAAGAACGGAAGAGAAGAAGAGGGCATACCTTCAGGAAAGGAGAAGAAAGGAAGAAGTGATTGGAATGGAAGTGTCTGAAACTGAGGCA